GGAGCTCTTGAGGGCTGGGAAGGACATGCTGAGGAACCAGACCTGGCTAGATTATAGAAAGGCTATGGGGGCCAGGTGGTGGTGGTGCACGCCTTTAATCCCAGCACTCTGTAAGTTTGAGGCCAGCTTGGTCTACAAAGCAAGTTCCAGGACAGCCAAGACAGAGAAATTCTGTCTCGAAAAACAAAAACAAACACAAAACAAAACAAAAAGGCTGTGGGGTGTTACCTCAACAGGAGTGAAGTCCTTGTTGAGTGAGTCCCCTAAGACAGGGGAGAAGATCTTCCTAGGAGGGGCCTGGGCCTGACACTCAGCCATGCCCTGGCCATTTGTTAGGACTACTGGTCACCCTATAACTGAGGGAGAAAAGGCACTATAGTCTGTCAAAGCCCTTTAGTGAACTCTTATGTAGATGAAGAGACATGAATGCCAACTAGCTTTGTAATAATAGCAAGTCTCATCAGGCAGTGGTGACACACATCTTTAATCTCAGCACTCAGGAGGCAGAGTGGATCTATCTCTGTGAGTATGAGGCCAGACTGGTCTACAGAGCGAGTTCCAGGACAGCCAGGGCTACACAGAGAAACGCTGTCTTGAAAAATCAGGGGAAGAAAAAAAGGCAAGTTTCACAGCACCAGAACAGTAATGATGACAGAGGCCATGCCACTTCTTAGGGCAAGGCTGGGGAGCTATCTTTGCGTGGGCAAATGTTGAGGAACTCTCTTGGATGGGCAGGAACAAATTGCATGGGGCCCATCCAGGCCTTGTCCAAAGGGAGGGGGTTAGCATCAGTTTAGGAAGGGCCTCGGGTGTCTGTTAGTCCCCACAGTGAATGGGGGATATGGGCATCTAGGCAGAACAGGGCCAGGAAGCCACCAGTCTCCGGTTTGCGGAAGATCAGGAGGACAGGGTAGAGAGGGAGAAAAGGCAGACTGGAGGCCTTTGGGGTTCCGAGAAGTATCTTGTACTGGGGGCCAGGAGGCACCCAGTGCCTTGTCTCAGATACCCGTGCAGGAGGTCCAGAGGCAGAGCGCTTGTCCAAACAGGGCTTCAGAAGCCTCCAGTTCAACCTTCTGAAGAGGGAAACTATTTTGTGCTGCCCACTGCCGATCTCCACTGTCTCCAGCTCCCTTAACAGGACTCTCCCACCCATTCCCCCCACCCCCTTCACACACACACCCTCCGCCCCGGACAGGACAGGGTGGAAGAGGGGTAGGGAATCGGTTCAGCTTTGATCTCTGGTCTCCTGGAAACCCGAACCCCTATAGTTTGACTTCCAGTGAATCTTGTTCTCCCAGGGGACGGTTGCCCCGAGGGGTACCACTTAGTGACTCTGGGCTCCAAAAGAGGCCTGGACCGCTGTGGTGGGAGATGTGGGGATGACTGATAGACACTCCCACTGCCGGCCCCTCTAGCTGAGGATGGGAAAGATAAAGCTTCACAGAAACTTCCAGGGAATAGCCCTGCCACAGCATAGAAGGTCACTGAGGACCAGAGGACACCATCTACGACCGCTGGACGACTTACTGTTTAAAAGGATGCTCTCTTTGTTCTTACGTTTGACCAAAGAAATGTTAATTTTTTTCTTCTTTTCCCCCTGACCACAACGCCCCCCACCCCCGCCCCCGCCAGCAGGAAGCAGCAGCTCCATCCAGCTTAAGGTCCAGGTTCACGTCCCCGGACTTTTCACCCTTTGCCATCACCAGGTGCAAGCTTGCGGCAGAGAGCCCGCGCTCCAGGCTTCGAAGGTGCTCGGGACGGCTCAGGACCGCGGTCAATCGCGCTCGTGGGCCTCGGGTCACCGAGGGAGGGCTCACAGCAGCCGCCGCCTCTCTCCGGAGCCGGGTTTTCACGCGAAGCGACGCTGTCTCCGTGGATCCACGCGTCTGGGGGCAGAAGCGGTGCTTCAGATTCCATTTAAAACGACCGGCGCGGCTTATCTCCCGTCGGCTCCCCAGGATTCCCATCCACCCTCTACCCCTCCTAGCCGAGGCGGAAGCCAAGCCTGCAGCTTTTGAAGTTCAGAGAATTTCAATCCGCAAGGCGCTGGCGGCGTCCGAGCCGGTGGTCCCAGCAGGGGAAAGGACCGCGGGTCGGAGAGGCTGCAGGGGAGAGGGATGAGGCGGGGCCGGACTCATTTTAGGCTGTTGTCTCCCCCTTCTTCGTTTACGAAGGGTTACCCTGCTTCCCGCGCTATCAGAATTTTCCTCCCTTCTTCCTCTGTGCACAAAATAACCTTCATAATACAACGACAGTGACTTTTAAAGCACCCTTCCCACTCAAGGGAAAACAAAAACAAAAACCTAAGACAAAACAAACCCGAAACCATGTCCTTCTCCAGCACCCTCTTTTCATCTGTCGTGAAAAAAATCCCATCTCTCTTCATTTGACGTCGGCCAACCGCTGATTTTTAGAAGTGACATTTACTTGGATATCTTTTTCCTGTAAGCATCGGGGTGGGGGTGGAGGCGCATTCGATAGAGACCTAAAAACTAAATACACGGAAGCTACTTTTCAAAGGTGGTCTGAAGTCTGGAGAGGAATGGGGGTGGGGTGGGCCGAGAAGGGACGTCCGTGAAGCTCAGATCTGGAGCTGAGAGGAGGCTGCCGCCTTCTGAGAGTCTGAGCCCCCCTCCTGGGGATGTAAGGGGGGGAAGCCCTGTTCCATAAGACTGTCCCAGGAAGGAGACTAAGTGGCACCCCTTGATCTCACAGCCCTGCTCGGCTTTCATCTCCAGGGAAAATGCTGAGTAAAAAGGATCAAACATTGAACATTCCCATTGAATGCAAAGCTGGGGGCGGGGCGGAGCAGCCCAGAGTCACTCTAGGGACCAACCTCCCTATGAGGGGGAGGGCAGTGAGATGGCTTTGAGAAGGTGGCTTGTTCATGGGGGGTGGGCAGGGAGAGTGGGTGTCGCACCGGCGGAGCACTGGGAGATTTTGATGCAGCAGCAGCAGCAGCAGCAGCAGCAGCAGCAGCAGCAGCAGCAGATACACAGTCCTGAGACAGACTCAGACAGCAGAGAAAGCAAGCCAGGTGCTCCCGCAGGCTCTGGCTGCACGAGGAAGGCAGGTTAAGACAGAACTGGGATACCTCCTCCTCATGGCAGAAGGTCCTGGGACCCACTATTCTCCCCCTCACCCCCACCCTTCTTGACCTCTGAAAGATTTCTCTAGGTTTCTGGGCTGGCAGTGCTCAGCAGATGGTGGCTTTGGGACTCACAGGGAGTGGAAATATCTACGTGGACACCACCCTCCACGTTCCTCTGCCCTTGTCCCTCAGGCAAGGTTAACAGCAAGTCTTGGCTGCATCAGAACAGAAGCGGAGAGGTGGTGGGGATAGACTGTTTGCCCCATCATTTCCATAATCCCAAATTAGAAAGATTGAGGGAAGGAAGGGTGGAGACAAAATGGGAAAAAAGGTTAGAGACAGATGACAAAGAGGAAGTTGTTGTAGAAACTTCCTTAGATGCTGGGGCTTTGCCTAGCAACAGAGAGAAGGAGCTATTATGCTTTTCAGCTAGGTGGGCAGGCCACTCACCAGTGGAAACTGTTGCAGAGGGGGGGGGGGGGGAGAGAGAGAGAGAGAGAGAGAGAGAGAGAGAGAGAGAGAGAGAGAGAGGAGCTCAACTCAGAAGGCGCTCACCTCTGGCTCTCAAAGGTGAAAAAGACCCAGCCCACCCGCCAGGCTCCCAAGGAGAGTCTATTCTCTCTCCCAAACACCAAGTCCCAGAATTCCACAACCCCAGATCCTAGGAGTTTACCTTCTCTCCTCAAAGGATTACCCCAGCTCCTGATCACCTGGTTCCCCCCCCACCCCCCCGTACATTTCAATGACTTTCCCTTCTACCTCCAGCTTTGGAGGCAGAGCCCAGGAGAGGACCCTCCAAGTTCAAACCCTGCTGATGCCATTTGCCACACACTCCATTCCATCCACAACCACCGTAAAACCTCCAGTGAAGGCCAGCACCTTTTCCTACCAGGGGTCCTTCAGTGCCAGCATGGTAGGGCCCCTCATGGCCAGCGTCTTTTCATTTAGAAAAAATCTTTTGTGGCAGAATTCGTTCCTTTGAACAAATATCTAAAACACAGGCAGGAAAAGAAAGACCACTCAGACCCTTTCCCCACCCAACATACCTTTAATAGCCTGGAGACCAGCCGGACCAAAAGATGTTTTCTTCTATGAATAGCCAACCCCAAGTCATGTCAGGCCATCTAGAAAGGGGAGAAAATTAACAACAACAACAACAAATCATCGAACACTTCGACTTTAAGCCAGGTTTTCTGAGTGGGGAGGGATTTTTTTTTTTCTTAAATCATGGAATTTTAAAACTGGCCATGGTCAGAACCCAAGGCCAGTTTTCAAAGAGAGAAACAAGATTATCTCTTGGCGAAGAAATATAAACTTTGGTTCTCAAAAAGGAGACAGGTGGAGTTGGGGAAAAGAGGGAGGAAAAGGGTACCGCAGACTCAAGCTCTCCAGACAACTTGGGGCGGGGGTACGTTTTTCAGGAGCTTGTAAAAAATTTTTTTGAAGCCAGCTTGAAGGACAGGCGGTTGCACTAATGCTCAGAGAGCCCGGGTTTGTAAGCAGCTTCTAAAGAGCAGCTATGGACTCTTCCATTAGTGTTAGATCGAGACACCAAGTTAAGAAAATAGAAGTCAAAACAACAATAAAATAAAATTTCAAAAGCGTTTTCAATTACCGAGTCCCGCGGCCCCGGTGGCACTCGCAGCGCGCCTTAAGCGCTCCCTTTTCTGTCTGCGGAATTCCATTTGCATCCTCTCTGCCTGGGTGTCTCCCTTTCTCAGTGTGTGTGTGTCTCTCTCTGTTTTCACACTCTCCTCCCCATTCGAGCGAGGCCCACACCTGGCGCATCACTGCCGAGCCATTAGCTGCGGGGTCTCCTTTCATCTTCGCTGTGGCAGACGTTTCTATTTATCCACTTGCGTTCGCCGAGTGGCGTCACCAGCGGTACTGTAATGACGATTGCAGCAGTAGGATGACAGCTTAGAAAGAAGAGGGCAATGGGGCTTCCTCCCAGAGGCGGTGCGGCACAGAGGAGCTCTCGCATCACAAGGTGACCCTAGCTCCCCACTGCCATCTCCGCGGTCGCCGTCGACAGCGCGCTGGGGCTACTCGGCGCCCTCCCAGTCTCCTGGCCTCTTTAGCTCCTTTTCTCAGCCAAGATCCCAGGGAGCCTGGGGTTAGGAGCTTACTTGGGGGCTTCCCCCCTCCCGCCCCCCCTCCGGAGAGCCCGGGGATGGAGAGCCGAAAGGACATGGTTATGTTTCTGGATGGGGGTCAGCTTGGCACTCTGGTTGGTAAGAGGGTCTCTAATTTGTCCGAAGCCGTGAGCAGCCCGCTGCCTGAACCGCCAGAGAAGATGGTGCCCCACGCTTGCCTGAGCCCGCGAGCCGGCCCTCCGACTGCCCGGGAGCGTGGCGGGGGAGGCCCGGAGGAGGAGCCGGTCGATGGACTAGCAGGCAGTGCTGCAGGGCTGGGCGCCGAGCCACGGTCTGCAGGAGCGGCCGTGCTTGGTCCAGGACCCCCAGTCTCCTCCGCGGACAGCCTCTCTGGCCAAGGGCAACCCAGTAGCTCAGACACCGAATCGGATTTCTATGAAGAAATCGAGGTGAGCTGCACCCCGGACTGCGCCACCGGGAACGCCGAGTACCAGCACAGCAAAGGTAGCCACCTTGCCCCTCCGCTCCCCGGTCAGCCCACTGCGCCCACACTTTACTTCATCTCAGGGCAGGTGGAAGATACTCCTTTCCCTTGGGGCAGGATGGCTGGGGTGGGGGTGGGGGGCACCTGAACAACTATTTTGCTTTCTGCACCTTGGTGTGTGTGTGTGTGTGGGGGGGGGGGGTGTCTCTTGTGTTATGGCATTGGTGGGACTGAGAGAGACAGCTGTGCCTTGGACGTATGTCAGGGTTGACACAAGTCCTAGGCTTGAGGGATCCAAAACGCACCCCCCCCAAACCCCCAGAGTTTTGTGGGAATGATTCAGCTGAGCCGGGAAGACACCTTCCATCGGGTAGGGCAAGATCAAACGCTAGTCCGGGCAATTTGTGACTGGAGGGGTGCAAGGCACATGGAGACGCGGAAGCCAAGAGTATATAAAGGACCGTAAAATCGTGGCCGACTCTGGTCTCCAGAGTGCTGCAGCCCTCGGACCAGTTTTGCACGTCGGTCAGAGGTCCAAATTACCTTGTCACTTCCCGGGCCGGCGGCGCCAGGTCGGAAATGGTCCCAATGGTCTAATTGCCTTTGGTCTCCGGTTGCATTTGAAAAGGCGGGGATTGGGCCCTCCCCCTCCCCCTTTCTCTCTGTCTCACTTCTCCACCCAAAGGAAAAGCAGCTGCAGGGGGCTAGAGCCCCACCCTTCTCTGGGGTGGGTCTAGGGGGTTGGTACTTTGACTACAGAACTCCTTCTCACCAGGGGCTAATGGGAGTGGGGGTGGAGAGCGCAGAAGGGTGCCTCTCTATAGATACCAACAATATGACTCCTAGGAATGGGGAAAAAAAGCGGGTAGCAGGAGTCCATCAGTAGACACACCTCCACAGAGCCGTGAGAACGGGTGGGAAAGGCTTGCACCACCTGCATCTAGGCCATGGCAGCCAACACCACCTTGCTGAGAATCCACCTCCATCCCCTACCATCACATCATCTGCTTAACCCAGATTCTCTACCATATCGTGTCCTCACAACCTATACTCAAATATTCCACTCCTGCAATATGTGCAACATTCTCACACCTGTGCTGGAATTCTGGCACACACCCAAGCTCACTGCATGCCCAACAATCTACAATGCACTAACCTCAAGAGTTCATAGTGTTCCAGCACATCCTTGCCCATCCCTGTCAACGTGAGCAGAGAGTATGCCCTTTACTGTGCCCAGGGGCAAGAGGAAGGGAAAGAGGACTAGGGAGCGTATAGACCCAGCATACCTTAGGTACAGGTCTTCCAAACAGCCACATTAAGCCTGCCCCAAACCCTTTCTGTTCCAATCATCCAAGAACTCCGGCCTGAAGCTTCCAGAGGGCCCCCCCCCCAACCAGTGACTTGAGGTAGCTCAAGGGTTCTCCTAACGTCCCTCCTCCAGCCCGAAGACAGCATTGTTTGTATTTGTGTTGTGTCTCTGTGTCCACCTGTGTGCTCTGGGCTCCTATGCAGGGTCAGGCTCCGACGCACTGGGCGGCAGTCCTAACAGTGGCAGCGAGGTCCCCAAAAGCAACGGTAGCAGCGGCAGCGGCGGCTCCCAAGGCACCCTGGCCTGCAGTGCTAGTGACCAGATGCGCCGATACCGCACTGCCTTCACCCGGGAGCAGATCGCGCGGCTGGAGAAGGAGTTCTACCGAGAGAACTACGTATCAAGGCCGAGGAGATGCGAGCTGGCTGCAGCCCTAAACCTTCCTGAAACTACCATCAAGGTATGCTGGGCTAGGGCGAGGCTCGAGGCGGGGGTATACCCGGGTTAGCAGGAGGAAATGCCAACCGCTCATCTCCCGAATTGCCGCTGGGGAGTCTGGGCCTGGGCTCTCCAATCTGGGACACGCAGAGTCGCCCCTTGACAGTCCCCAGGCAGCGATTGCTGCCACGAGGTGATTCCGTCCTTTTCCCTAGGCAAATAGACTAGGCAGGTGACTTCGAGTGACAGGGAGGTCTCTCGAAGGACAGGGATAACATGGAATGTAAATCTGGAGGAAATGCCTTTTACCTCCTCAGACCAATGGAGGCAGGCCCTACTACTTGCACCCTCACCCGCGGTGGGCAGGGCAAGTGGGTCCCCAATTCTCCTTCCGAGGGTTTCAATCGGGGATGGCGGTGGGTGGCCTGCCGTTGTTCAGCAGGAGTTGGTATTGGCTCTTCCCTGCCCTGTGGGTATGGCTTCCCTACACCCACCCCGAGTTGGTCCTGGGCCTCGTGCAGCCATCCAACCCCCTCCTCTCCTCTCCCCAGGTGTGGTTTCAGAACCGACGCATGAAGGACAAGCGTCAGCGGCTGGCCATGACGTGGCCGCACCCGGCGGACCCCGCCTTCTACACGTACATGATGAGCCACGCGGCGGCCGCGGGCGGCTTGCCCTATCCCTTCCCGTCGCACCTGCCCCTGCCCTACTACTCGCCGGTGGGCCTGGGCGCAGCATCCGCGGCCTCGGCCGCCGCTTCGCCCTTCAGTGGCCCGCTGCGCCCGCTTGACACGTTCCGCGTGCTGTCGCAGCCCTACCCGCGACCCGAACTGCTGTGCGCCTTCCGCCACCCACCGCTCTACCCCGGCCCAGCGCACGGACTGGGCGCCTCGGCCGGCGGCCCCTGCTCCTGCCTTGCCTGCCACAGCAGCCCGGCCAATGGGCTGGCCCCGCGGGCCGCCGCAGCCTCGGACTTCACTTGTGCCTCCACCTCCCGCTCGGACTCCTTCCTCACGTTCGCCCCCTCCGTGCTCAGCAAGGCCTCCTCGGTGGCGTTGGACCAGAGAGAGGAGGTGCCCCTCACCAGATAAGGGGTTGCCCTCGGGCTGCCGGCTGCAGGACGCCATGGGGGTGGGGGGGGGGCCTTCGGGACTCCTCCAGCGTCCCACCTGCTACCCCTCTTCCCAGATGCAGAGGGGAAAGGGGAGGGTAACCACCAAGGACTCGGCCTAGAGGATCCAGGAGCCCCGGAAGCCGCAGTGGCCGTCGCTGCTTGGAAGCAGGGATGGGGTGGGAAAGCAGAGGTTGTGAGAGCTTCCCCTGGGGAGGCCGGTCTTTGCCATTCAACACCCAAACCACAACCCTGTCAGAGGTGGAGGCCTTGGTTCAACAGCTAAACAAAATTCAGCAGCAGCAACCCCCCCCCCCATATCCTTCACCTGGGCCCCCCCACTCGCTTGTCAAGGGCAAGCATTGAGAAGGGAAATCGCTGTCTCTTGGAACAAAATGCTGTGTATGCAGAGCAGGTAGAGATTAATCTTCACCAGCTTTTCCAAAGCATGGCAGGGGGCTTGTTGATGGCAACACACCAGCCATTTAGGGGAGAGATGATTTACTGCTAGGGAGAAGCTTGCCCCTTGGCAAGGAACCTGGGGCTGTTTCACCTTCCGTGAGCCTCAATTACACAGCATCTTTCGGTCCTAGCCTCTACCAGCCTCTGACCTCCTTCCCTATTTCGGGCTTTGTGAGATCTCTCAACTAGCAACTCCAGCCTTCTCCCTTTCTGTTTCACGTTGGCAGGGGAGCTGCAGGGTCCCTAGGCAGCTTCTGTGAGGCAAACCTCTTCTCCCTTAACTCAGCACACACCCTGATTAGCAAGTGAACTGTGAGGAGGGTTTTTTGAATGTTGAATGTATGTATAACAATGATCACCACTCTGCGGGGCCACCAACCCGGGAGCTGAGCTGTTATAACAAGGCACCCTGGGAAGAGCTTAGGGAGCGTCGACTTCTTACAGCCTTCTCTCATTGTCTCTTCACAGGGCCACAGGGCCTTCCTTGGCTTTCAGTTGCCAGTAGAAACTCCAGCTCTTCTGGAGGACCCCGTCTATACCTTTCACTGGGGTTTGTTTGGGAGCCACTCACGAACTCCTGTGCTCATCCTCGTAGCCAGTGTTTGAGGAAAAGGACAACTTTAATCACCCAATGCAAGCTTCACCCCACTGGGAGGGAGTGGTTCTTCCTGTAGGGAATGAATTTGGTTTGGTTTGGGGTTTTCCTTTGCAGCCCAAAGAATTTGCTGTTATGATTTGTTAACCATATTGCAATAAAAGCTGAACACAATTCTTACTTTAGCATTTAAATATAAATACTTTTTTTTTTTGGCAGCAGGGAGCACATTTACTATTTTCAAATTGCCAATTTAGCTACCATGGACACGGATAGGGAAAGAATAAAAGAGATGGATTCACAAAAGGGTCGGTCTCCTAAGTCCCTGCTGGGCATTGGCAGGCTCCAAACAGACATGCTGGAAGATGGAGGACTATCTTCTAGCCACCTTGGGTGTGTGTTTGGTTGGTTCTGGAAATATCTGGGACTTGCGATAGATAGATAGATACCCCCCCCCCCCCCAAGTGTTGAGTCTGTCTAGGGCTCACCCCACTAACGGATGGATCTTTCAGTTGCTCCAATAGGGGGCCCCAGGATTGCCATCTCCTTGAGCCCTTCCTCCAGCCCAACCCCAGATGAGATAAGTGGGCCCTGACCTGTGCTGGACCACTGCAGAGAGCAGTGTTTGCTGGTGGAGTCAAGCCTCCATTCAAGCATAGGAGGAAGTGGCTGGGTGAGGGTTGGGACGGTCTTAGTGTGATCCATCCACATGCTGGAAATCCTATCTGAAGGATGGAATTCTGGGACTTCCGGGTAAGGTCTCTGGAGGATCAGGTAGTACTTAGCAGTTCCCCCACCTGCTCAAGAGTGGCTCATTCTGGAATTCCTGTTCAAGAGCCTTCCTCGAGGCTAAGAAGCTTTAGATTGCATAGCATAACAGGGAGGATTCTCTGCTGGGCAGGTGGCACGACTCCACAAACACCCTCTGCCCTCTTGCATATAGTGGACCCTGTATGGAGCCTTCCACCCAGCAACTGTATTCCCATTCTACCCCACCCCCAGGCCCTCGAAGTTCCCTCCAAAGCCAGAGGCTCCCCAGTGCCAAATCCCAGCAAATTTTGCACTTGCTCCGCATCGGGGAGAGATTGCTTGCGACAGGTAAATGGGCTGCGGGTTGCCTTAATGCCAGGCGTATTTTCAGTTAATAGGGAGGGAAAATGAGGTGTCTGCAGCGATATTGGAAAGTACAAGATCGATGATCCGGCCTCGTGTCCAATCAGCAGCCTTTAATTGACTGTATTTTCTGGGTAATTGAGCCTCTCTTCCTCCAAATTGAAGTGGAAGATATAACAATACATCTTGCCAGGAGGAATTACTCATTACTTCATAATGAAATTTCCCTTTTGCCAGGGTTTGCGGTTTGGCGGTAGGCACTTCTCACTCTATGGCCCTCCCACCCCTCATAGAGTTTAGCTGCCTGCACCAGGCCATGCCATCTGGCTTGACATGCTGCACTTTGGTAGGGAGAGTAGCGTTGACTATGAAAACACTGTCCATCTCTGGCTTCAATTTCACTCTGTATAAGGGGCAGGACAGACCAGGCAAGGGGCCTAATGTGGGATTGTTTTTGTTTTTGTTTTTTAAGTTCTAGGTGTCTTGTCTTAGCTGAACCGTGGTATGATCCCATTTTGCCTGAGGCTCTGAGCTGTGGGCATCAACCAGGGACGAGGGTGCACCTGTAAGCTTCATGTTCTGGATCTCCCCTCCTCCCCCGCTTTGGGGCTCTGAGCCCAAGAGCATGCTCAACAAAGTTTAGCGTTTCCGCTTCCAACTCGTTTCCCCCTGCAGCTTCTGAGTCCTGGCAGGACCTGCAGGTCTGGAAACAAGGTCCAGGGCTCAGCTTGGGTTTGCCTAGACCTGTAAGACTAACCACCCTGCAGCTCAAGTGTGCGCAAGGCCCGGGTCCGTCGCTGGCTTGTTAGTGTGTGATTGATTGCCTTATTAAAGCGTGTTCTTGTAAGTGTGACCAAACTGATTGCATTGCATATGTTTGGGATAATGCTCATTTTAAACAACAGGATAAAGCGGATGAGCTCGGCAGAGCCTCCAAGACAAAATGATTCCGGCCAGCAGTTCCCTAACTCTGGCATTAAATTACCCAGTTACATAGCAAATCACTTAGTTCTTCCATCCTTACCCCACTTTTTTTTTTGGGCCGGGGGGGTGGGGTGGGAGGGAGAGGTGTCTTTGCAGTTTGATCGCACGGTCTATCCTACTGATGGCTTTTCTAGTCGCCAATAACAGAGTCACCTTCCTAGACTCCAAACCTGTAAGGAATCACTAGGCATGCACTAGACATGGAGTCCTCCACACTCCAGGCAGCAGGAAAAAGAGGTTCAACATGGACCCTGTCACCCAAAGGACACAGCCCTAGACAGTCACCCCAAGTGGAAGTCTTGGGTCCCCACAGTATGTCTCCTCCATCCAAAATGCTTTTATGGAAGTTTAAACGATCCCTTTGTTCTCCAGGCTTCTCCTGCTCCGTTGCTTCCATTATTCTCCAACCGAGGAAACACCCGCTGCCATATGTCCTCCTGAGAGCATGGGTGTCACAGTGGACAGTTGTGGAAGATGTCCAGACGGATGGCATACTCCAAGTGGGACTAGCTTCCTGTGCTAAGCATCCTCTCCCTGCACAGTGAGGGATGGGAGAGAAAAAGAGTGTAGCCAGGTGTGTGTGTCCTAATCATCCCCACTCTCAGCCATTAGTGGCACAGCATTTTCTTTCTGTCTGCCCAGCTCCCAACAAAGAAATCCTCAGCTTGTCTCCACTCACTCCTGACGACTTGCACTAGAGCCAAACTGCTAGAAGATTGAACTTCCTAAGGAGCACCTTTGGGATATGCTGGAATTCTGATTTGTTCAAGATGATCACGGTCATCAGGACAAATCAGAAACAATGCCACTCTTCAGGGTGTCATTTGTAAGTGTGGTTGCACAGATTTGTTTGCAATCCCCAGCTGAAACAGGTCTGCGTAAGAGAATAGATGCATCGGCAAATTTCTCCCCTGCCTCCCCTCCTCCCAGGTTCTGCAGGGCCGGGCACATCACAGTGCAAGAGGAAAAACACTGAGGCCAAACTCACTATTTACTCAATGTATGGGACCCCGAAATGTTGACCCTAGGGAAAAAATAGCAGATCCTAACTATAAAACCCATCATACTATCTACAAAACAAACAGAAACACAAAGTCGTTTCCAAAATTGCCTTCTCAGCAAAGAAGTATGTGATATTCTGAGCAGGAGGGAGAAAGATTGCCACTTAAAAATAACATGAAAGCATTAAGTAATTATTTAAAACAAGGCTGTTTAGAAAAATATTTGTATTTATTGCAGCTGCTCAATTGGCCTCGTTAAAGTCGGCAAGCATTTAAATTGTGTTACAATCTCATTTAAATCCTGCTCCGTTCCAGCAGGCTGAAGAGCTTGAATAGACCAATCACTTCATAATGATGATGAATGAGAAATTAATTCAGATACAAGCAAGACAATTTAGGCCTTCATCTGTTTAAATAGCCTTCCAATATTATTCGCGATCGCGGGTCACAGATTGAATCAATTGTCCAATCTTGTGAAAGTCATATCCTTACATCTTCATCGAGATTATTTATAGCGCAGTGAGGGCTGCTGAAAGGTATACGCCGTTAACAGGGACAATTACTTAAAGGGAAACGTTTATAAAATGGAAAACAAATGCCAGGGTTGGTAACAAATGGAATCAAACGCAGCCATTCCATTCTCTGGCAGCTGGAGAGAAGGGAGCGGCCACAGCCGCTCATGAAGGGAGGTGGATTTTGACCTCTCCTGGGCCCAGGTGAGGCCGAGCATTGAGGGCGCGTGCGCTGTAGCTGTCGCTGTCGCTGCCCGAGCGATCTCCTCATCTGGCCCCGGCTTGCTTTAGGTACTTGCGTTAGCGCAAGTGTCAGCCTGCA